ACGGCCACAACCCCCAACCGCACCGGTCCGCCGCCAGTGGAGGCCGAAAGAAACCAGACAGCCCCCGTCGCCTCCCCCCCGCGCCGCAGCAAGGGCAGCGAGCGAGCGAGCGAGCGCGACCCACCCGGGCCGGGGCGCACGAGGGCGGGCAGGCGGCATTTGGCCACGATGAGGTCGAGCGGCAGCGGCGGGCCGGAGCTCCACGCCAGGCGGCCCAGGGCCGCCGCCAGTCGCTCCATGCTTGCCGCCCGCCCCGTCGCCGCCGCAGGAGCATCGCCCTCCACCTCCTCGCTCGCGCAGTTCAGAAGCAGCCGCAACGAGCGAAGCCCGGGCGCTCCTCCTCCTCCTCCTCTTCCGACGGCCGCCGCGACGCGCCGGGCAAGGGCAGCGCCGCCCGCCCCGTCCAGCAGGGCCTGCTCTTCCCGGCGGGCAGGGTGCCTCGGCCAGCAGGGGACCAGGTGGCGCTCGCTCCGGCGGCTACCATACCTCTCTCGGCTCGCTCGCTGGCTGGCTCGCTCGGCTGGAGGCCGGCCAGACCCGCCCACTGGAGGGCCCGCCGGGGACGCGCTCGCACCCCCCTTGCAGGCGCCCCTTGAATGGCCGAGGCGGGCGAGCTTCAGCTCGTCCTCCCTTCGACGCGTCTCTGCTTTCTCCGCAGCAGCAGCCTCGCTTCTGCCTCGGAGCCGGCGGGCTAAAGGCGGAACTCACGATGGCTCCAAGAGGCAACCCCGCCTGAGGATAAATCATCCCATCAGCTCGGCGGCGATTGGAAAGAACGCCTTCCTCTCCGGAGCAGGTCTCTTAGGGCAGCCTGTTTCGGAGTAAGCCTAATAAATTGTGCGGTGCTTCCAATAGAGGACTGCACTGGCAGCCATCTGCAAGATGTGCCCGTGCACACACAGACAAGCTGGAGGGTTGTACCAACTCCAGCCTGGCCAGAGCTATTCATGCCTGTATCTACCACCATCTAAAATGGGGATAACACCTGTTTCTGCTTCCAAACGTGGTCTGACATTTCCATTACTCATCATCCTGATTGGAGCCAGGAGACCGGTCAAACCAATCCATGGCCACTTCCTCTGGTTACCACTTTCTAGAGGAGCTCTGCTCTGGGAAGGCATCCGTCAGCCCTTCCACAGTGTGGAAATAAAGATGAAGGGTGAGAAACAGGGGAAAGCTACAGGTGGAAAATGTCTTCATCAGGACATCTTGTAACATTCTGCAGCCTGCCTCCATTTTAACACACCTCAGGGCAGGACAATTACCTGCAGAATAACATGTTGCCCTGTTCTCTCTCTGCCTCGCAGGGGTGTCCATAGGTATGGTAAAAAAAAGTCAAGATGGTGGCCATGATGTGTGCTGCACTGTTATGGCCACCATCTTGACTTTTTTGACCATACCCTCCAGATAACCCTGCTTGTCTGGAGTTTTGTGGCACAAAAACCAGTGGGCTGGTAAAACATGGCCTAGGAGAAGATAAGGCCAACATCATGGAGACAGAGAGTCAATGTGAGGTTGCCAGACCATTCTGGTGTCCCTAAAAAGGATTAACGATAGAGGTTCTGTGATCAAGGATTTCATAAAAGCAAGATGTACAACTTTGATCTCCTTAGAGCTGAACATATATGCTAATTGTATTATATGTTTTCTTGTAATAGTCAATGTTTTTTACCAAAATTATGGGTATAATGCAACTGTTTGATAAGTAATTAATTCAATTAATTGGAGATTTCTGCTGACTCAAGGACACGGCCATGAGGAAGAACCCTGAATCGTGCTCTGGGAACCCAGGTACAAGTCCCTCTTTGAAATTAACTTACCTTTTAGCAGATCAGCAGCTTTCTTGATTTATTAATGCATTCAACAGTTTGGGAATCACTGTTATGAAGCATTTTATTCTGTATAGTTTGCACTTTCTAAAAAGAGGGCTTTAAGAGTCAACTCGATTTACACTGAGAAGTCACCTTAGGTGTGACTGCTCAGCAGAAATAGGAAACTACTTCAGCCATTCTCTGGAGCATGCTGTTTTTTTAAACTCTGGTGGGGTTTACCCAGTATACTAACTCTTAACCCAAGTTAATAAAACACACTTCTTGTATAAATTCATTATACAAATAAATATAATTTATTTGCTGTGCTTTTTTCGAAGAATGTCTTAATTTGATCTTGAATAACCAGGCCAATCCATTTATGGCAAAATATATGAATCCAGCTATTGTATTTTGTTTGGTTTTTGACCTAACAAGGTGCATGAAACTAGCCATTGTGATTTGTTAACCATGGTTTATGGCTTAGTATATTTGAACCCAGCTTTTTCAACAAACCATGGCTTTAGAAGCTGTGGCTTTGTATGTTGAATAAATCAAAGCAAAGTTTTAAAAATGTCCATGGAAGTGAAGCTAGCTGGAACTGAGACAAAATTCGGAAAGGAAGGTGATCTCCCGTTCTTAAATTAACAGGGCCCATATGTTGTTTATAATTTTCATTCTACAAACTTAGTCCTTTATCTGGCACCACTTAAAACAATGCAGTCTTAGAAAAATAAAACCACTTCAGACATCCTTGGCACTGATGAAGACCTGACAAGGAAGAGTCCAGGGAGAGAGAAAGAGAGAACAAGATCTAATCTTCCAGGAAGATGGCTTTGAGAGGTAACTTCCCTAACTTCTAAAAGACCATTTCAGGATGGAACAAGGACATGGCTTCAGGAATCCTTTCCAAACCCTTAACAGTAGATCCACTCTGGGTTCCCTGAGCAGACGGAGGGGGCCAGTCAGCAGCATTCCAAGCCACTGCAGAACTGCCCAGTCTTCTAGAGTTGCACTGGGAGATTTTCCTTTTCTGTAATGTTTTTCTCAGCAGCCTCCAGCTAGATCCAGCTCATTTTTGAATCTGCTGTTTCTTTTGTCAGCTTCTCCTCCCACACTACATTTGGTCCCATTTGGTTCTTTTCTGAAGAGAGTCTTGAATCCCTTTATGCAATTTGTTTCCAACATTCCACTGGATGGCAAAGAATAAAAATGGAAATGTGTCACTAATGAGAATGCCAAGACCGATCTGGTCTAGGCAAAGAGCCACACAACCAGTGTGTTCATTAACTGCATTAAGCTCTTATGTGGTTTATTTGGTTTGACAGTGTAGTGTGTGAACCCAATACAGCATGGTTGTCACCATGATTTATAGATTAGCTTTGTATGTAAAGCCAGCCTTAAGATTATTCAACCAACAATAGTTAAAACAAACCTGATGTAGTATAATCTAAAAATTGAATCAGTATTATTGGCAAATTAAAACTAATCTCTCTATAAACTTTGCAAGACTGGCAGCTTTGCAGAGCTTGTTACATAGACGTGTCCAGCCTCTTTTGGAATGATTCCTTCCAGTTATAGTTGTGCAAGTAAACTACATTGAGTAGTTTGTATGCCAGCTAGCAAATCAATCAATTCCAAGAACTGGAATTTATAGAGCAGAATACTAGCTTTGTCAACCATGCTACTTTAAATTGTCTCCTCTTCCTTCTGCTTATCTATTAAAATGCTCTTCTGTAAATTTTGGAAAGTCTATTCTGTGTTTAGCACACACAGTGTTTGGGAGGATTGTATGATGTGGTTAAAATGAACTGCATTTCTTGGAACAAGGCTGTAAATTAACTAGAATGGAACAGGCTGCTAAAAGGGCATAGCACAGGTTAAACAGTGTTTAATTTCTATTTTTGTATCTTCAGGTGCTTGTAAGCAAGTAGGGAATCAAATTATTTTACAAAATTCTCATCGCAAATCTGTACTCAGTTTTGATCAGGAGAGTAATATGTAAGTGCAGAGCACATGGCTTTGAGGCTGGATTCTAACCTCATCAATAGCATGTCATCTTTCAGCAAAGATAGACTCTTGGTCCCTTCTCAAATGGAAGAGCAGCACCCTCTACTGTTAAAGTTAATTCTGCCAAGTTTAAGAATATCCCTCAGTAATTCTGCCTGAAGCCAAGCCAGTTACTCTCAAGCAAATATGCCTGAGGATTAAAGCATTACAGAGAAGAATGAACCTGGAAACACGTCATGAAAGGAAATAACAAGGAAAAAACCAGGTAGCAGAAGCAAGCCACTGCTCTGCATACAGAAAACCTCAACTGTTGAAATCCTCAAGTAAATTGCTGAGGGAAGTCTTGGGAAAGATCATTCTTATTCTCACTGTTTCTGCCTGAGATTCCAGAGAGCTGCCCACCAATGATTAGGCAATGCTGGGCTAGAACTATGTATGAACTGATGCAGTCTAAGATACTTTCTACATCTGTACAATAAATGGATACAAGGCAAGAGAGGCAAGTTAAGGTACAGAATGAAGCACCAGAACTAAAGGTCTTGATAGAAGACTACTATCCAGAGCTTGCTGGAGTCAAAGGGAGATACCAATATTTTTAAAAATGCTGCCCTTTAGTATGAGCTCTATCTATGGAACCACCAGAAATATAGAAAAAATTTGCTTAAAGCCAGACCTGGATGAAATATCCAAGCAGGTATTGCAGGTAAATGTGCAGATGTCAAGAGACTCAACTTATATTCCCTTGGCTATTGGGTTTAGAGACCATCTTAATAGAACTTAATTCAGTCTTCTTCAATCTTGTTTTCCCTGTTATTCATACCCCCTTTATCCACCATTATCATTTCCAGGTTTTGCTCAATCCCTCCCCTATCTAAGAAGCTGTCACCTACACGCATGTTCTCATTACATGCTCAGCCACATCTCCATCGCTCTTAACAATGGCTAACAAAGCAAACTGAGTCCAGCTCCTGTTTGCAAGTTAGCAGCCAATTTGGTCTGTATTCCTATCACCTCTGCATTGGTTATCCAGATAATTCCCAAGGAATTTTGGAGCTATCGTTGATGAAGTGGGAGAAAGCTAAGCAGCCTCTTGTTTCATCCACCAGACATAACAGAAAAACAATCAGGAGCAGAACAAACGTATTTGCTCTAGTCTCCTGTGTCTATATCTGGAAACTGGGAGGATTAACTTCTAATTAACCCTCCCATCCAAGTCCCACAACACAAGAGATCAAAGTTAAGGTAAGTATTTTATTTTAGTTACCAATTGTCATTAAGATGCTGTGCCTTTGCCACATTTAGACTTAAGCTCCAGAAATAGCAACCTACTTCCATATTGTTGCCAAGAAAACTCCATGTACATATTCAGGTAACCATCTCAAGTCAAACTTGACTCAAGGGAGTCTTTCTGACATGAGCAAACAAAAGGAGAGGCAGACTTCCAAGCAAATAAGCTTCATGTTGTTTTTACGCATGAAATTTAAAACAAACCTTTTTCAGAGATTGCATAGTTGTTTTTTTCCTACTAGTTCAGCCCCTCCAGTAAGAAAAAGGCACATCCAGCAATGCCCTTATTTTGTCCACTACACTTATTTATATAAACAATGGGACTTTGAAAATAAAAACCAAATCACATTTTCAATATGAACAGAAATAGACCAGCTAGAAATATTTCAGTTTATTTAACTTGTTAAGTAGAGTATGATTTTTCATCTAGTAGTACCAGAGAGTGGACTGTTTTGTTTATCTACTTGGTGCTTAATGAACACAGCTTTTACAAAGGTTCTTAAAGAGACTCATACAGGAGGGCCAAGCCCAAGGAAGCAAATAAAAAGCACACATTTTAAACAAAGATTATACAAAAAAATTATGCATACTCCATATTCCCTTTTTTGATAATGTTAGAAAGTGCAGATCTGAAAAAGGTAACCATTTCTATTTACATCACTAATCCATACATCAATATGTGAGGAACGGAACTGCATTGATTTGTCCCCTCGTCCCTGGTTTCTGCCTTTTACTTTAACAGCCACTCACCTGGGATAGATCAACGAACATGACAGGAGTCAGATTCCCAAGCACAAGGGAAAGGAGATAGGACAATTACTGTGAAACCAGATCAAGGCTAGAGTTCCAAACACTTTCATTTTATTAAAATTAGTCAGCCTCATCGGCTGATTTAATTAGTAGAAGAAATTTTCTAAAAACAAGTGCAAAAAAGTTCAGCCTCAAGCCCATCTCTGAGAGTACATGGGGGGTCTGGGGGGGAGGAAGAGGAGTTTCCCAGGAAACCATTTTATAGACAGGCCAAGTGGTAAAAAGAATGTCCCAGCAAGGCACCCAAATTCAACAGGAGCCTCAAAAGATATGAGCCCTTGACCCCCTGACCCCAGTACTTTCAGAACTGAACAACACCCCTCTGTTATTTCAATACAGGTGTCAAAGTGACATTTCTAGCAGATCTAGAATGAGAGGCAAATCAGGAAACCAGAAAAGCAAGTCCCATTCCCATGGGGCCCCCAAAAGCAGAGCACATCTGCTTCCTTCAGTAGAAATTTTAAAGTGGTATTTTGCTTAATATTCTTCCGTATCAGTTGAAAGAAGTTACAATTGCCCAGGGTTGTAAACAAGGGATTTTTATTGTGAAGAACTTAACACAGAAGGAAAACATTCTAGGGGTGTGATTCAAACTCACTTGCCCTCTTTCTTCCCTCCCACCCCCATTTTAAATATTGACTAGGCTACTGAGTCACCTGCCTGGAGCAGCAAAGAACACCAAATTCTTTATGAATGGCTGTAGATTTGGGAACCACATGGTATAGTCATACACAAAGATTGAAGACAGCCACATCATCCTCCATAGAAAACTAGCGCATGCAATTAACTCTTCCATATCATAAACCCCAACAACTATGCAGGAAAGAAGGGAGAAATAGTTGGCCTGACAGCTGCTAGACAAAGGTTAGTAGATACTTCACGTTTTACCTCAGAAAGCTAGATTTGTGATCTGTACTTCGAATTAAATTTGGCAAACATACTGTATTGCCATCTCTTAACACATCACGCTATATAAAAAAATAAAACCGGCATGCAGGCAAAAGAAAAGGGGGGGGGATTGCTAAATAGAAAAAAAAAATGGCAGCAGGAACTGGTCAGCATTTAAACCCCCAGGAAAGGAGACACCAAGCAGGTTGGAATAGCTTGCTCTAACCCCTTTGTCCTCAATCCACTACATCGATCACAGTAAAGTCACCACAGGAGAATTTGATCTTCTGTCTTGCTTCCACCAGAACAGAAAAAAAAGAGGGGAGGGGAAGAACTAAAGTTCCTTTCCACATAAGGCACAGGACAAAATAAACCCCATTTACATACTCAAGGCGAATGAGTTTTTTGCTGATGCAAATATGGTGACTTAAGCACAGTATTCATAATAAAACCCCACCGTTGTACAAAATAAACTGTTAATGCTAAGTTTTATTCTTGTACAATTTGCAGACTGGAGCTGAAATGGTCGCTCTACATTTTAATGTTAAGACTGGGCTATAATACAACCAGAGTGTGGCATTGAGTTCAGCTGGTACATTAAAAATAACGTCAGACATGATTTTAATACAGTTTGTTTCAAGAAAATTATAGTCAGTGAGCTCTCCCTAACAGAAGAACAAAGGAAAGGTGGAGCCATGTTAAGATGAGGAACAAAAATATTTAAGGTTAAAAATGGGCAAAGTGGTTTATTCCGCAGCAAGAAGAGGAGGGGTGATGGGTGGTGCTTGGCGAGGGAAGCACATTCAGCAGCACTTGGTCTTCCAGCCTGTCACACCACCTCCACTGCTGATATCTACATTTTCACTGTTGGGCTCTTTTACAGGGGTCTGCAATAAAGAAGTAGTGTAAGAGTTAAGCCAAATTCCAGAGTTACAGGAGCCATACTCCATTGTTCAGCAGAGCAAAGAAGTTGAATACACAATTAGTAGTAGTCAAGTAAAAAAATGTTATTGACAGGAATTCAACTTTCTTAGGTGCATTACAGATAAAACTAGACATCAACCTTGGGAGGGGATCCCATGGTGATCCTGCAAAGTGGCTGTATGATGTCAAGTGACTATTGTTCTCCTGCAACGTTGGGTTTTTGAGTTTTTTTATTCATGTTGGAGTGTTGTATGTTTTTTTAAATTGTCATTATGTCACCCAGGGTCACATTTCGTGAGATGGGCAGCTATATAAATTTGCTAAATAAAAAAATATATTTAAAAGTTTTACACAGCCACTCATCTTATGTATCATAAGCCTGAGTAGCTTACAAACAACAATAAAACAAAAAGGATAAAACCAACATAGAAACTCATGATGTCCCCAAAGACAACACACCCTTCATATCCAACAGATAATTTTCTTGGGCTCCAGCCAACACATTACCTCAAAGCTTGTAGGAAAAACCATGTCTGCATTGGGTCATTTTCCTCAATAAATAAATGAACAAGTATAATATTTTTGACTTGTTTAATTGAGTTCTCTTTATCTAGTTTTAGAACTTGTGTGGAGAATCAGATCACATTTTAGGTCATATTTATGCAGAGACATTAAACATTCCAAAGGGTTCACAAACTTTTAAGCACAATTGTAGGTGGTAAAACTCACACCCCAAGGACCTTGTTCACTTCTTTTGGAGTTAACAGGCTCAAACTCTTCCCAGATAACAGTGTGCAGACGTGCTTCTATAGGACTTGCCCAACTTCTGAGCAAAGGTGAGTGACTTTATCCAACAGATGCCAAGAAAATTCCTCACAGTGGCCCAACAAGGGCTCCCCCACTCCCTCCTTACCCAGAGGGGACCTGGTCACTCTAAACAAGCCCGTTGGCCAGTTATCCGCAGACATAGTAAGAATGGAGAATATTGCTTTGCTGCGCTTAGCACCACAAGGTAAGTCCTAATAAAGGCTCTCACCTGTCCTTGGTTGCCCTTGCTCTTCATGTTTCACCAGTGACACTCTAGTGCGCATGGTAGCTATGGGCAACACTGATATCACTATGCAGTTTAAGTCAGTGGGCCCCAATGGATCTGAAACCATATTCAGTATTTAATGTTCCTGCCATCCCATTTTCTGCTAAAGATCAAGTTTATAGTTACCTTTCGAAGAATGTCTTCTGCTAACGTGAGGAATGCCTTCTCAATGTTTATATTTGCTTTTGCACTAGTTTCGAAAAACCTAATACCATGCTCCCTTGCAATCTAGGCCAAAAGGAAAAAAAAACTGTTAAGCTTGCTTACAAATGCTTCTTGTTAATGCTACACATCAGCAAGTGTGAACTTGCTCAGACATACTATTCAAAAACACACTTTAAAAAAAACACCCTAATTCAATCACATTAAAAAAAACACTTGCAAGTTAGTGCAGAACTGTTAAGACTGCCCCAAAGTTTATATATAACAAAACAACACATTTTAAAATTTTTTAGCAAAGCATAATTCATATATGTACAATTTAAAATTCTAGTTAAATAATATGTTCTCGCAGGAATATAAACACCTTAGAGGCTGTTCCATCAATTGCAAAATTTTATACAGATGAATAACTGAAGAGAACCATATCCCAGGACTTAGAACTTTAAAGACCAAACCAACATTCCAAATTGGGGGAAACGCTCCAGTAATAAATGCAGATTCCTAACACCAGGACTAAAAAAGAATCCCACATTGTGGCATTTTTTATCAGAAGTTTTAGAACAGTTTTTAAAGACAACCCTCCATAGAATACTTTACCACAGCTACATTTATAGATCTTGCTAAACCATTGCTTGTTGAACAATCCATAGTGGCATGGTTCATACAGTCAGGTCCAGAAATATTGGGACATCGACACAATTCTAACATCTTTGGTTCTAT